TCTTTCTTCATTGACTCCAATCAGTCTTATGTTATTCTTCTTTGCATTGTCTAGCAGCTGCTGGATTGATTTCTTATGTTCCCTTACAATTTTAAAGCAATTTTTCTTTTCCTCCTCACTAATTGAAAATCTTATCTTCTATATCTGAAATTCTGTCCTCACATTGGCTCATTCACCTGTGTATACTTTCAATGGAGTTTTTAATCTCCTGGAAATCTGCATCTGTTTTATGGATTCCATTTGTTTCCTATGTTGGGATTCCGTCATGTTCCTCAGATCCTCTCTAAATTTATTAATCATGTCTTGCACTATCACAATCTCTGCTGTTATGTGAGGAATTATTTCTGATTTCATTTTTTCCAGATCCTCTTTTGTTGCCAGTTCAGGGAGTTCAGGTGATTGAGTATTAGACTGTTCCATCTCATTTCCCTTTGGGGTTGTTGTAGGTGATCTGGAAGTCTGTTTTTGAGGCTTGTTTATGTTTCTTCCCCTTTCCATTCGGGGGGGGGGTAACAGCTGGTGTCCACCTGGCTCACGTCCTGTGCCCTGGGAGTTGTGGAATCTACCCCTTTTACCTTATTCAGACTACTGGGATTAGGGCAGTGCCAAACTAATCACTTACATCTAGTGGTTTAGTGATCACACACCCTTAACCCCAGCATCACACATTCCAAATTCAACTACCTCTGAAAAAGAAAGTCCCACCTCATCCACATGAGGCTTTAGGGGGACATCTAAACACAAACCATAGCAGATGTCATGCCAACAATGTAGAAAAATGGAATAATAAGAAATGATCAATTCAATAGAAAGCAAGAAAAAAAGCTCATAAAAGGGCAGGATAAATGGAAAGTCAATAGTAAGATAGTATATTGCAACCCTGCCAAATCAAAATTTATGAATTTAAATTGACTAAAAGGCCTACTTAAAATATAATGATCAGTATAATTCAAAACAAATATAAACTTAATTATATCTTATTCTTTAAAATTAGTGGAAATATTTTAAGATGTAAGACACACTTCATAAATGCCTGTGAATGCTTGGGAAGTATGTGCCTTCTCAGTAATTGAATTAGAATTTTACAAACATTTAAAAGATCAAGCTTGTTTGAGTTATCCAATTCTCATATATTTTAAAAATTTTGTCTGCTTGATACTGCATACCACAAAACTTAAAGCCCAGGAGGGTTTGAAGTGAAGTGTTTCAAGCCCCAAAAGATAACAGCTTCCAATGCTAACTTATGTACCTTGCAAAACTTTCCTTTAAAATTTGACAGAAAAATAAGGTATTTTCAAGACCAGAGCACCTCAAGAAATTCATGACCACCAACCCAGCATTACAAAAAATTCTCAAGAGTATACTAGAAAGAGACAATGAAGCCACCAATGCCAAAAAGAAAATAAGTCAAAAAGAATAAATATACCACCTGGTAGAATGAACAGCTAAGAAAAAGGGGAAAATGAGGAAATCATCAATAGAAAAATAATGCAATGACAAAAATAAGTCAATTCTTCTCAGTAACAACTCTGTGAATGGTCCCAATTCCAAATTAAAATACACAGATTAGCAGAATGGGTCATGAAAGCAAAGCTAACAGGCAGAGAAGTTAAGCTGGTCCCAGCACCCGGAAGGAAGCTCCCCACCTCCATCCCAGGCTCCTAGGGCAGAGAAGCTGAGCCAGTCCCAGCACCCAGAAGGAAGCTCCGCCACTGCCATCCCAAGCTCCTAGGGCAGAGAAGGTGAGCCATGTGGATGCCAGAAGCACCCCTTCCCATGGAAATGAGAAGACATATAAACATATCTCAAAAACAGACTTGTGGATCACCTAGAGCAACCCCAAAGGGAAATAAGATGGAACAATCTGGTACTCAACCACCTGGACTCTCTGAAATGGCAACAAAAAAGGATATGGGAAAAATGCAATCAGAAATAATTGCTCAGATAACAGCAAAGATTTTGCTCATGGTGCAAGACGTGATTAATAAATCTAGAGAGGAAACAGATAAAAAAATAGAGGATCTGAAGAACATGATGGAATCCCAACATAGGAAACAAATGGAATCCATAAAACAGATACAAACAGATTTCCAAGA